CAGAAGCCCCTCTTTAGGTATTTTTTCCCCTACCCCAACGACCCTTTTCAGGGCTAAGGGTTACTGGGGAGGGGATTAAGAGGTGGGGAATAGAGGAAGTCCAAATAGGAACCTCTGACCGCTTCGGCCGGGGGCCGAGGCGAATACATATAGACATATATATATATATACACACACACACACTTTACCTGTGTACATGTATCTATGTACGCATGCACACAGTGATGCACGCGCACACCAACACCCATAGATACAATGCACATATATATTTTTCATATATAATACACACGGACATATGGACACGCACTCATACGCGCACGTATCTCCACAAGATTACCAAATGCCGGGTGATTATGGGACCCTTTAAGTTGATGGTTTGGGTTGCTTGCTTCTCATAGCCCTTGGCAAAGTGCCATACTTGGAGGTTCATGGATAGTTATAAATGGGGTTGTAAGTAGGGTAACTATACTTATAAGCCACATTAGGGGACTTATATCCCATGAACCTCCAAGTATGAACTCTTCAACCCTTAAGCCCTAACCCTTAACCCTAAATCCTAAACCCTAAATCCCAAACCCATGAACCTCCAAGTAGGGACGCCATAGGCATCAAGCCCCACAGCATCCCCTGCGCCAAGGCCGTCGCCTCCGAGCTGCCACCGGCCTCTGGGATTTACTCCGCTGCAATCACGGCCTGCGGACGGGCCGAGAAGTGGGAGATGGCGCTGTTCCTGCTGCTCGGAGCTTGAGACTCCAATGTCCCTTAATTAAGGAGTATACCTTAAATTATAGTAGGATCCCTAAAGGTATATTCCTTAATTAAGGGATATTGGAGTCTCTGGGGAGCTTGAGGGGTTTTATAAGCGTGAAGGGCTTGAGGATTTATGGTTTGGGATCACCAGGCACATATTCATATTAGCGGGGTTAACATCAGAGCCACTTTGGGGAAAGGAGGGTATATTGCTGGGAACGGCAACTCAGGAAAGTGCTTCTGGGAGTTGCAGGTGAAGCACATGGAAGTTGTGACATGCGATGGCTTTGGGGCTTGGTTCTCTGATGAACTTGATGATTTCGGTTGGCAATCATTGATTCGGGACCGAGGACTAGCCCTTCTCCGTTACTTTGACTTCTGTTTTCCGTTGCATTGTCCCACCAGACCCATGGATTGGAGCATACCCCTAGACCCAAGCCACCGCACCCCAAAGCCTAACCCCCGAAAGCAACCCAAACCCTGTCTGGGTAGATCTACCTTTTTTAATGAACCCAGAAGAAGGCGGCAGCCTTATAAACGGTACCCTAAAAGGGACCCGATTCAGAGAACACTACCCATATCCTAAACCCTAAACCCTAAACCCTAAACCCTAAACCCTAAACCCTCCGACAGCCGGAACTCCTTTGAGGTTCAGGGAGGCCCAGCACCATGTGGAGGCCGGGGAGCAGCCATCCGACACCCAAGGACGCGACTAGGGTTAAGGGTTTAGGGTTTTGGGAGTTTAAGGTTTAGGGTTTTGGGAGTTTAAGGTTTAGGGTTTTGGGAGTTTAAGGTTTAGGGTTTTGGGAGTTTAAGGTTTAGGGGTTTTGGGGTTTAAGGTTTAGGGTTTTGGGAGTTTGAGGTTTAGGGTTTTGGGAGTTTAAGGCTTTGGGTTTTGGGAGTTTGAGGTTTAGGGTTTTGGGAGTTTGAGGTTTAGGGTTTTGGGAGATTAAGGTTTAGGTTTTGAGGTTTCAGGATTTAGTTGGGGTTTAGGGTTTTGGGTTAAGTCTTAGACAAGAAACCTTATAAAACACAGTTCCCTTTGAAGGAGCCTTGAAAAAGAGCTCCAAGCCCCTACAGAAGCCCTGATAGAAACAAAGCCATAAGTAGAAACCTTGACAGAGTCCTTATCAAATTGCAAAGAGTCCTGAACTGGCAAAGCTTACAAAGCCCTTCCGACAGCACAGTGCATTACTTAAACCCCTCGTAAGCCGCCTGTAATTCTTACATAACCCTAAACCCTACACCCTAAACCCTACACCCCCACCCCTAAACCCTACACCCTGAACCCTAAACCCTTAAACCTCTAAAAAAGCCCTAAACCCTAAAGCCTAAACCCTACCTAAGGCCTTTTCTTCCGACCCTAAACCCTAAACCCTAAACCCTAAACCCTAAACCCTAAACCCTAAACCCTAAACCCTAAACCCTAAACCCTACTTCAGGCCTTTTCTTCCGACCCTCTTTGAGGCCTCCCAGGTCATCGCGAATGCGGCGATCGGCGCTTGCAGCCGAGGCTTCGCACGTCGCAGCTTAAGGTTTAAGGGTTTAGGGGTTTAAGGGGTTTAGGGTTTAGGGGTTTGGGTTTAGGGTGTAGCTTCAGGGTGTACCTTAGGGGGCTCTGTAGAGTTTAGGGTTCCCTTTAAGGGGTACCTTGGGGGGCTCTTTAGGGGTTT